TCAAAATATTCTTCTTCTTTTAGGATGTTGATGAAATGTGTTCATCGGAATGGCCTGATTGGGAACGTGTAATGTATTATGTTGCATTAATATTTCGTCATTTTGAAGGTTCAGCGTCACTCGAGCCAATTTCACCAATTTTACCAATTCCTCAAGCATCATCATCACCATTATCACCAACATTTTCAAATACATCATCACCATCATTATGTGTTTCACTACGATCATCGAATACAATACCAACAAAATTTTGTTCACCATTACAAACTGTATAAAGAAAAAGAATTTTAGTTTTGTTTTATATCTACAAAGTAGAATACATTCCAAAATTCTATTTCATTTTTCTTCTTTCATTCACTATATTTGTATACTTGAATTGATGTTTTTCTTTTATTTGATGGTATGATATGTGTTTGATTATAAAAGAAAAGCAGATACAGTTGTTTTTTTTTCTTGTTTGTTTGTTTGTTTGTTTATTTGACTTTTTTGTTTTTAAAATTATATTATAATCATGGTTAGAGATACATATAAAGATGATTTATTTTTGTTTTTATCTTCTAACTTGATTTTCTGTTTCTTTTTTATCGTTTGTTTAATATATATTCGTATATATATATATATAAATATAAACGTAAAGATAAATAGAAAATAATATGTAGAAATTAAATTGAAGAAGAATTATAAGAAATAATTTGCATTTGTTTAAATCAAACGAGAACTGATTGAATACTATTAAATAATAAATATTAAAAATATATACTCAACAAATTAAAAGCATCGATTGTTCCGAATGTATTATGTAGAGATTTAGATACGTTATTTTAACGGTTTAATGAAAAAATAAAACATCTTCATCATGGAGATTCAGAAGATTCAGCTAATGTTCATGTAGAATTTAAATTATCAACAGAATCGAATGAAAATAAAGAATATACATCAACTGACAAAAAAGGTTCCAGTATTCTTTTAAAATACCCTACACCCTCAAACGGTAATACAATTAATTATATTTATATCATTCATCCATTTTTCCTTTAAATTTTTTTCATGTTCTTTTAATAAATAATTAATATTATTTTCATTATTAGTTGAAATATCATTCCGTAATTATTCAATAAGAATATGAAATTCATCTAATGTCTGACTAACGATATTTTGTAATTTTTGATTTAAAACAATCATTTATCATTATATCGAGGATCATTAGGATCTGGACGAATTGGTTTGATACGTTTATGTAAATCATTAGAATTTGACAAAAGAGTACTTCCAAGATTATTAAATATTTCATCAACAAAAACATCAAGTTCATTTGATTTATCAGTATCTGATTTCAGTTTGAGAACTAATGTTTTAAAATGTTGATATTTTCTACTAATTACTTGTGTGATTGTGTCCTAGAAATAAAATATTTATTAAATTATCTCATTCATTTATCTATTAAAATCTAATCTTATTCCACAAAAGAATAATATGACTAAATCACACAATATTCAAATTTCCAATATAAAATTGGAAAATATTTTATTCACCTTGCATATGTATTCAAGAGAAAAACAAAAAGAAATAGATATTACCGTTTGAATATTAGACACTAATTTATTCTAATTGTAATTAGAAAAAAATGCCTATAAATTTAAAAGTTTCACAAATTTGTTCTAAAATGTCAACAATTGTTCTTGCATTATCTGCCATCCATTCAATAATATTTGTTAATAATATATTTTATTTTTTCAAATATTAAATCAATATAATCAGTTATTCTATTCATACTAATAGATGAACTATGAAGAAACTGTCAATATTATATCATTCACATTTTTATAATCAGATTCTTGAATATTTGTAGGACGATATGTTTTGATTTCATCACGAAGTTGATGAACTCATCTTCTTATACCAACAATAAAAATTTTCTGATTCGCGATCAAATTGTTGTTCAAGAGAAGTGTAATATCGACATTATCACGATTTCTAACTTCTTCTTGAAGTGCATTTTTCGAAACATTTATACGAGATTGAATATAAGATCGTAAAGGTATTTCATATGTTGTTAAAAAATTCATAATTGATAAAATATTCTCTATTATTTGCTATTGACTTTAGTTGAAATTGAGAAAAGAATGAAAGAAAAAGTCTATTAAATATGAGAAAAAAAAAGAAACAATCTCGTAGAGGAAATTAAGTATAGATCTTTCAATTATTATGTGTTGATGGGTGTGATTTATGAAAACAAACAGATGAGGTAAATAAAAATCTAAATTAAGTTTTTATGGTGATTGAGTATGTATTAGACTATATTATTCATTCCCATTTAGTATATATAGAAGATTCTGCTTTTTCCATTTGAAAATATTTAAGATTTAAAACTGAAGTTTTGTATTTTATTTCATCGAATAATTAGTTTTGAATAAAGTTTAATATGTTCACTTTTTTCAAGTTCAAATTCTAGTTTGTCGTCTTCATATCTTCAAGAATACAGATATGGTTTTTCTAGATAGGTATCTTATACTGACTATATAAAATCACATTCATATTGATCTGCATGTCTATATTGTTTAGAAAAGAAAATGTCTTTCTATTTACTGGACTGAGTAATGATTTGAAAATTATCTTATTTATTATTCTTTAATGGATGATCAGATATGGCTTAATTTATTTTTTGGTATGCCAATAGAATTTAATAAATAAATTCAATATTGTAGATTATCTAAACTCAATTATTTATTGTACAAAGCTCGAAATTAATATAATTCTTTATATCTATAAACCTTTTCTTGAATTGAAATTCAGTATAAATAAACTGTACAATATGCCTATTTTCTTTACTGCTAAGAAAGCTTTATTTTCTATTATTGATATACAATAAAATAAAACCAACAACTTTAAAATCCTTTCAATTTGACTTTTGTTTTTATCATATCATTCTTACATACATATATGCATCTTGAATTAAATGTGTCAATGATCATTTCTTTTATTTATATTTAATATATATATAGGTGTGCGAAATTAAATAAAAGCAAGAAGTACTAATGAGAAAGCAAGCGAAAAGCTAAGCAGAATAAATATGAATATATGCAATATCACTTTGGCAGATTGTATCAATCTGTTTTATCAAAACAGAGTCATACGTATATTTTTAATAGATCTGTTAAAGAATATGATATTGGTAAATAATGTACGTTTTGTATTCCAAAAATAAAAGCAATCAATGTTATTCATCGTCTATATGAGAGTTTACTGTAAACTATAGTGCTTATCAATGAATTAGTAATTATGCTTGAATAAATGGTGCTACAGCGTTACGATTTTCTGTACATCTTCGAATACAAAACATAATAAGTCGGACCACTCGTGGTACGATCAGTTTCAACGCTGTTATTAATCCTCCAACTAGTCCAATCACTGTCGTTATTATATAGATTAAACCATTCTTTGTTT